TCTCCCTCCCGGATGTCACGGCATATTGTTGTGGCAATCTCATCCGAAATGATGCCAGCTCGGACATATTCTTTGATAGAAGCACGGATACCCTTGATGGTGGCATCCGTGCATGTGGCGCCACCTGCCTTGATGACAGCAGGGACATCTGCATGGGTAAGAAGCTTTTTGCTGGTAAAATCCTTCAAAGAACTCTTGCGCATGCTGGGGTCACCTGCGCAAACAATCTGGACTACGCAGCCACGTTGGTGCTCCTCATCAGGCTGCAATCGAAGCCGCGTGCCTGCATGGATGCTCCATCCAACCAATGTTGCTGAGGATCGGCGCCATGAATGTCTCAGGCTCCCAACCTTCCTTGCGGGCAATGGTTCTCAAGCTGACTCCGAAAGGCGCGGGCAGCACTTCTCGAGTTCGGAAGGCAAAGTCTGATGCCACAGCGTTCCCTGGGGTCTTTCAAGGCTGCATTCAGAACGGTTTGATAAGAAGCCTCCGGGCTTCCAAGCCCTTGATATGTGCTCTTGGTGTGAAGGAATGAAAGGCTTTGTGCTTCATCCATGCAAGCCAAGTAATTTGATATGGCGTCGTGCATAGGATCCTTCACCGTGGTAGATGCCTTGCTGGTCTGACTCAGGTCGTAGATGTCAATCCCAAAGCTTGGAATGGACAAGCGGGCTGCTTCACTTCCACCCTGTGTGAAGGGAGGGCTTTCTGGGCTTGGGGACCTTTGGGTGGGCGGCACTGGGCTGCGTTGTCCTGCTGGTGGGCTTGCGTTGGTTGTTAACTTCTTGCCCGCTGGGCCCCCACCCGCACGGACAGGCGAAGCTGCCTCTTCTCTGGTCTTTCTTTTTACCCCCTCAGCCACAGCCTCTGCTTCCATTGCTGCCTCAGTCTCCATCTCTTGCAAACCACCATCATCAGCCTCTTCCTGGGAATCTTCATTCTGAAGACAGAATGGGCAGTCATGCATCGGGCAGCCCTGCTTTAATCGGTATTGCTGCAAGCAATCCGCCTGGCACATGTGTGAGCAAGAGTCTCGGCTCGGCTCGGGGAGCACAAGTGTTTTTCCGCATCGTCTGCGAAACCATCTCCACAAATTTCACACGTGGCCATGTCTAGGAAGCTAACTCCTACAACTTGAACTTGATGGCGCGGCTTGGGTACCGGAGAGCACTTGTCAATGCGTGGTATGATGGTCATATTTGTCGGATTTGCCTTTGCAGTCCCAAGCGTGATATCGACAATATGCAACCAAACTGGGTCTCATGCATGTTGCGCTGCGTGGACAGCCGGAACAATGTGAAAATGTTCACATGCCCTCCACATCTCTCAGTTTCAACACTTCTGTAGCGCGCAGCGAATTTTTTTTAACCTCGCGACATTATCAAAAACTGCTTGGCCTAGTGTACAAAAGGACTGCACAATATCGTCCATGCCATTGAGGCCCACAGGTCGCAGTGGACGAAGCCAGGGCGGCGCTAATCAGGTACGGATAATTTGCGGTCTGCGGCCTGCAGCGTCTGCAAACAAGATTCTTGCAACGCTTGAACCCGAACCTCCTACGTTCACCTAGCTGCAAAGAAAACGACTCCAAATAGGGCAGTCGTGGTAATGGTACAGATGATGAATTTCTGTCGTCGGGAGATTACTTCCTGACATCTCGCTGTTGACTTCAAGATGTCCCAATCACAAACAGAATCTGCAATCTACAGCCCAAGACGTTATATACACCAGCACACTTTGCGTCGCTATTTGATATGGCGTCGTGCATAGGATCCTTCACCGTGGTAGATGCCTTGCTGGTCTGACTCAGGTCGTAGATGTCAATCCCAAAGCTTGGAATGGACAAGCGGGCTGCTTCACTTCCACCCTGTGTGAAGGGAGGGCTTTCTGGGCTTGGGGACCTTTGGGTGGGCGGCACTGGGCTGCGTTGTCCTGCTGGTGGGCTTGCGTTGGTTGTTAACTTCTTGCCCGCTGGGCCCCCACCCGCACGGACAGGCGAAGCTGCCTCTTCTCTGGTCTTTCTTTTTACCCCCTCAGCCACAGCCTCTGCTTCCATTGCTGCCTCAGTCTCCATCTCTTGCAAACCACCATCATCAGCCTCTTCCTGGGAATCTTCATTCTGAAGACAGAATGGGCAGTCATGCATCGGGCAGCCCTGCTTTAATCGGTATTGCTGCAAGCAATCCGCCTGGCACATGTGTGAGCAAGAGTCTCGGCTCGGCTCGGGGAGCACAAGTGTTTTTCCGCATCGTCTGCGAAACCATCTCCACAAATTTCACACGTGGCCATGTCTAGGAAGCTAACTCCTACAACTTGAACTTGATGGCGCGGCTTGGGTACCGGAGAGCACTTGTCAATGCGTGGTATGATGGTCATATTTGTCGGATTTGCCTTTGCAGTCCCAAGCGTGATATCGACAATATGCAACCAAACTGGGTCTCATGCATGTTGCGCTGCGTGGACAGCCGGAACAATGTGAAAATGTTCACATGCCCTCCACATCTCTCAGTTTCAACACTTCTGTAGCGCGCAGCGAATTTTTTTTAACCTCGCGACATTATCAAAAACTGCTTGGCCTAGTGTACAAAAGGACTGCACAATATCGTCCATGCCATTGAGGCCCACAGGTCGCAGTGGACGAAGCCAGGGCGGCGCTAATCAGGTACGGATAATTTGCGGTCTGCGGCCTGCAGCGTCTGCAAACAAGATTCTTGCAACGCTTGAACCCGAACCTCCTACGTTCACCTAGCTGCAAAGAAAACGACTCCAAATAGGGCAGTCGTGGTAATGGTACAAATGATGAATTTCTGTCGTCGGGAGATTACTTCCTGACATCTCCTGACATCTCGCTGTTGACTTCAAGATGTCCCAATCACAAACAGAATCTGCAATCTACAGCCCAAGACGTTATATACACCAGCACACTTTGCGTCGCTACTTACTGGCTTGGTTCGAACCACTGTACCAAATTTGTATATTTCCATACAGCCCACTGCCTAACCAAGTACGGGTAACTAACATACATCCTTGTGATTCTACTTTTGTATGCTCGAGATACCATCGACAGCCCGGCTTAGAGAGCACAGGTAAGCCAAGGGCCGCTAATCTTGACAGTGGCAAGTGGCACCACCAGATAGAGCCAATGTTTGCAAGTTCAGTCACATTGGGAAACATGCATCTGGAAACACACAGACCGGCAAGAATGCCAGATAGGATGTCAGAATGTATGCCACATAGACTCCCATAAAAAATGCCAGATAGAATGTCAGGCAGTATGTCAGATGAAATCTCAGACAGAATGCCAGATAGAATATCAGATAGAATGCCAGAGAGAATATCAAAATAATCAGAAACAATCTCAAAATATATGGCAGATGGAATGCCAGAAAGAATGCCCGATAGAATCTCTCTCTCTATATATATATGATATGTCAACTAGAATGCCAGTTGACCGGGGCCACTCGAGGAAAGTAATTTTGACTATTATCGTTTATCAGGCGGGCGTCTACCCATTCCATTCCATTCCATCCGTCCGTCCGTCCATCCATCCTATCCATCCACCCATACTGTCCATCCATCCGTCCTTTCCGTTCATCTACATATCTATCTACCTAGCTATCTGTTCACCTATCTGCCTATCTACCTATCTATCTACCAATCTATCTAGCTATCTATCTTTCGATCCATCCATCTATCGAATTTATATACTTTCATACAACGTTGCAATCCTTGGGTTGCATGTGGATTGAAGATTCCAGAAAGAACACTCTTCAATCCAAAGAAGGGTACAGAGGGTACCGACAACAAGAAGCATTGAGAAGCCGTTCTCACGACATGCGCGTCAGCCCGTATTCAAACAATCCAGACCGACTGCCCCGCTTGCCCCGCTTGCCCGCTTGCCCCGCTTGCCCCGCTTGCCCCCCTTGCCCCGCTTGCCCCGCTTGCCCCGCTTGCCCCGCTTGCCCCGCTTGCCCCGCTTGCACTTGCTCTGCTTACCTCCGCAGCAAGTGCGTCGAGTGGGGGGAGTGGGGCGAGTCGGGCGAGTGGGGCGAGTCGGGCGAGTGGGGCGAGTAGGGCGAGTGGGGCCGAGTAGGGCGAGTGGGGCGTGGGGCCAAAGTCAATTAATTTTCCTACCAAGGCAAGTGGGGCGAGTGGGGCGAGTGGGGCGAGTGGCGGATTTCAATTAATTTGCTAGCCCAGGGCAAGTAGGGCGAGTGGGGCGAGTGGGGCGAGTGGCGGATTTCAATTAGTGTTCCTCGTGGGCGCCCGCAATGTAATATTGGCTAATAGTTTCTGCATATCCAATTATTTTTCTAGCACCACGAGGTAATTAAGACCATGGTGCAAGGCGATGCAATGTGGGTTATTAACACCATAAAGTCATGGCGAATCTTAGATACCTGCCAAACAAACAAAAAAACATGGTTAGTACATTTTACATTGATAGCAAGCAATTAAAGTACTAAAGTATCTAACCAAGGTTGACCCAGAAGTTCTTAACCCGCATAACATGGGGCTCCGGATTTAATAGGGATTGTAGGAATTGTCCAACAAAACTGAGATACGTCCAGCAAAAGAATCAGATTCTAGATATCAACCTTAGGATTTGATCAAGCAAAACGATTCGATGTGGAGATGAGAGCAAACCAGCAACCAAGCTATCGAAAAATGAGGATGTAAGCAGTAGAATTGGGAACACGTGTTACCAGTCAAAATGGGCATCTGACAAATCAGGTTTCCAGGAGCAAAAGTGGTTAGCCAATCACTGATGGTTTATTAGCAAGGTCAACATTGAAAGCCCCTTTTATGGACCTGCGCCTATATCAGCAACAATTCGGAGATAGCTGACCTAGAACCTGAGTTTCAGCAAAACCTATGATTCCTATTCAAACCTATGTATTTCTGTATTACATGGAACCCCAAACAACCAGAAACTAGACCAAAATGGTGCTTCCCAAAATACCATTTGTTATGTAGGGATTCTTCACAGCGGACCATGGCTACCATCCCTGCAGCACCTTCGCCTTCTTTCGCAGTTTCACTTCACCTGCAGGGGGATTACATCTTGGACCCACAAAAAACTCCCAAGAAAAAAGAGAGAAGCGAGTCAACTCACCACTATATATATATACATATATATTTATATATTCGTGTATTTATTGATAAAATTCTATATGAAATACGAGTATATTATAGATCATAAATCAATATAAATCATATTATCATGATATTCATATCAGAACAATTGCATCAAGTGCTTACGGCCTGGAGGGCAAAGATGACAACGGCCACAGCTGCGTCCATTGTGACCTCACCGAGCGCTGCGACGCAGACGGGGTGTTAATCAACGTATGTTTGGGGGCCCCATTATTTAGGCTAGCTCGGATTTGATAGTGAATATATAATGTATATATCATATGATGTATCTTAATTATACTTAGATGAGACGATCTCTATTAAAAGGACTGAAAAAGGGATTTTATGGTGGTTCATAACCTCCAAGTAAAGCCATAAACATCTTCACACACTCACAGTGTCACTTATGTTTGTCATTTTTTGATATTTTTTTGTGGTTAGGCTTTGTCATTTGTTTGTCAGTCCAATCCTGTTTTCAGATATCTTTTGCTTTGGTCGTTTGGTTCCCGTTGATTGATTAACCCCCCATTCATTGTTGGTGAAATCACCATTTCCAAACCCAGATCACACCAAGTCCCTTTGTTTTCGAAGATATTCGATTCACCTTGCGATCTCCCACTGAGGCTCCCAACAACCTTGCGCTTTCCAGACCCAGGCGCATGGACTGCAATTTCCTGCAGGTGCTGTGGAACATCATCATATCATCGGGTACCCAAACACATACCCAAACATCACTGGAAAATCATCACTTGACACTACTGAATCACCCTGGTAGGGTGTTGATTTTTGCCAAGTTTTAGATTTTTTGGGCAGAGATACCGTTTGAGAGGTATGGTTCCAAAGATTTCAGCTCAGGTTTCACTTGTTTAGACACAGGAAATGAATCGAAGGATGATCCAGCCACGCCTTTGGCATGCAAAACCGAGCCAAGGGAGGGTAAATCCGTGCTGGGATTCTCAGCCTTGGCTGTGCATCAAATCAGGACAGGCAGGGCATCGCGATCATGCTATGAGTGGTGAAACAATAACTGTATACCCACACATACCCACACACAGCAAGATCAGTAAGTATGACGTATAAATATGTAATTATATGCGTGTATAAATATATATATATATATAAATGTATGAGTCTATGTTATGAATATGAATGTGAACATAAGCAAGTTAATATACTTGTCTACCTGAAGGCTACACCGTGTATCAGTTGGCATGAAAGAGATTTGGTGATGGTGTTGCCAAAAAAAAGAATCTGCAGCACCGATCCTGGGCTTTTGGCAGCAACCACATCCGGCTCAGTACAGGCCATACCACTGTGAATGCGCGGGCAAGAGCACCTTTCAGCTGTTCCAAAGGCTTCAATAGGCCCTTTGGAAGTAAGGGTGAAGATTAACCCCCTATAGCAACCCCCAAGCCCCAATAAAAAACATGATTTAGTAGGATTATGATTTGACTTTTCAAATCTTGTTTGGGATGACTATAAGACTATTTTTTTGGGGGGGCACTCTCAAATGTCCATGAAAACAAGTATCTGGATATCTGGATATATGAATATATGGGCATATGGATATAACATGATATCACATGATATAACATGATATAAGAATATTGCAATATCACCAACGTGTTTGGGAGGACTATCTGATCATCTCGAAAACACTCCAAGGGTGTAATGTTTCAGATCCATTCAGAGCCCACAAATGTCGGACATGAACCGTCCCTAATGGATCAACCAAAAGAACTGATCCGTGGATTTCTGTTGGCTGCACCAACATCTTAGGGATACAAAATGGACGATTCAACCTTCAATGGTGATGTAACTACTATTTTTTGGATAACCCTGAATATCCTGAATGCCCCCCCCACCCAAAAAAAAAACGTGTCTTTTTTTTGGGTTGCTTCTATTTGGTGCAACTTCTTTCACCAGCAGAAACAATCCACGAACCAGCAACCCAGGTGAAGGAGCCAGACTGAGGCAGCTCCAGTGAACAGCCTCAACAGCCTTCAATGTTAAACTAGTGAACAATTTCTCATTATTATCATGCATACTATAATATAAGCGAACATAAGTGAACAAATAGAACAGCCATAGTGTCCTCAGTGTCAAACTATATAAAACAGGATCAACCAACCCCCCATGCTATTCCGTGTCTGTGACACCTGGTAGTGCATGTCGTTAGTCCTTACTGAAAGCTAGGTAGGTATATGTAAAGCGTTCACTAGAATGTATTCACCATAAGTCGGCATCAAGATTCAAATTCATGGTTTTGTTTTCATGTATTTCAAGTTCTCCCAAGCAGTTTCCCAAGGTTTCCCAACCCCAGCCGCAGCACGCAGCACCTGTTGGTGCCACAGAGAATGCACGCTAGAGCGTCCTTCGGCCCGGTCTCGCTCACACGGAACTCCGCGGCACAGAGGTGGCCTTGGGGGAGCAGCTGCAACTAGCGGCACTAAACAAAAACCACAGTTATCAATTTGTCAAATGTTCTCATGATAAAAATTGATAAACATATTAACAAATATGATATCTTTAGACTATGTATGACTATATCTGTATCATCATCATCATCACCATCATCATCATCATTCCATCACAATCATCATGGTTGACCAGCATCAACCCCATCCCATCATCCAACCGCCGTGGGTCAACAGGACCAGCGGCATTTCTCGCAGAGAGGGCCCTTGGGACAACCTTCAGGTGTGAAGGCGTCTGGGCACAAGGTGCACTCCTCAGTGGAGAAATGTCAAGCACCGTTTGATCCAACAGCTCTTCCCATATGCTCCATGTCTGCTATATTTACCTACATTACTGGGTGATTTTTGGGGCAAATATTGGTAAATATTCCATACATGGAGCATATGGGCTTGTGATTTCGGGGGATCTTTGTATCAAGTTCTTCCGTGTGGTTTTTTGTCCCAAATGTGAAAGAACACTTTGAAGTCCAAAAACCTAATTGTGAAAAAGGACTTGTCTATATCTCTCGAATATTAGCGGACAATTTTCCAACAAGAATCATGATTTGAGGATTTTGAGAGTGATATCATAAAGTTGAAGTGTATGTATATAACATATTTAAAAATAATTTGCCATACAATATATGCATATATGTATGTATGTATGTATGTATGTAATTGTATGTATGTAATTGTATGTATGTAATTGTATGTATGTATGTATGCATGTATGTATGTATGTAATTGTATGTATGTATGTATGTATGTATGTAATTGTGTGTATGTAATTGTGTGTATGTAATTGTGTGTATGTAATTGTGTGTATGTAATTGTATGTATGTAATTGTATGTATGTATGTATGTATGTATGTGTGTATGTGTGTATGTGTGTATGTGTGTATGTATGTAAATGTATGTATGTAAATGTATGTATGTAAATGTACGTATGTAATTGTACGTATGTAATTGTATGTATGTAATTGTTTGTATGTAATTGTATGTATGCAATTGTATGTATGCAATTGTATGTATGTAATTGTATGTATGTAATTGTATGTATGTAATTGTATGTATGTAATTGTATGTATGTAATTGTATGTAAGTAATTGTTTGTATGTACTTGTACGTATGTAATTGTATGTATGTAATTGTATGTATGTAAGTGTATGTATGTAATTGTATGTATGTAATTGTATGTATGTAATTGTATGTATGTAATTGTATGTATGTAATTGTGTGTATGTATGTATGTATGTATGTATGTATGTAATTGTATGTATGTATGTAATTGTATGTATGTAATTGTATGTATGTAATTGTATGTATGTATTTGTATGTATGTATTTGTATGTATGTATTTGTATGTATGTAATTGTATGTATGTAATTGTATGTATGTAATTGTATGTATGTAATTGTATGTATGCATGCATGTATGTATGCATGCATGCATGTATGTATGTGTGTGTATGTATGTATGTATGCAAATTTATGTATGTAATTGTACGTATGTAATTGTATGTATGCAAGTGTATGTAATTGTATGTATGTAATTGTATGTATGTAATTGTATGTATGTAATTGTATGTATGTAATTGTATGTATGTAATTGTATGTATGTAATTGTATGTAAGTAATTGTATGTATGTAATTGTATGTATGTAATTGTATGTATGTAATTGTATGTATGTAATTCTATGTATGTAGTTGTATGTATGTAATTGTATGTATGTAATTGTATGTAATTGTATGTATGTAATTGTATGTAATTGTATGTATGTAATTGTATGTAAGGAATTGTATGTATGGAATTGTATGTATGTAATTGTATGTATGTAATTGTATGTATGTAATTGTATGTATGTAATTGTATGCATGTAATTGTATGTATGTAATTGTACAAATGTAATTGCACGTATGCAATTGTACGTATGTAATTGTACGTATGTAATTGTACGTATGTAATTGCACATATGAAATTGTACGTATGTAATTGTATGTATGTAATTGTATGTATGTAATTGTATGTATGTAATTGTATGTATGTAATTGTATGTATACAATTGTATGTATGTAATTGTATGTATGTAATTGTATGTATGTAATTGTATGTATGTAATTGTATGTATGTAATTGTATGTATGTAATTGTTTGTATGTAATTGTTTGTATGTAATTGTTTGTATGTAATTGTATGTATGTAGTTGTATGTATGCAATTGTATGTATGTAATTGTATGTATGTAATTGTATGTATATAAGTATGTATGTATGTGATTGTATGTAAGTGATTGTTTGTAATTGTATGTATGTAATTGTATGTATGTAATTGTATGTATGTAATTGTATGTATGTAATTGTATGTATGTAATTGTATGTATGTAATTGTATGTAATTGTTTGTATGTAATTGTATGTAATGTATGTATGTACTTGCATGTATGTAATTGTATGTATGTAATTGTATGTAATTGTATGTATGTAATTGTATGTAAGTGTCTGTTTGTAATTGTATGTATGTAATTGTATGTATGTAATTGTATGTAATTGTATGTATGTAATTGTATGTCATGTATGTATGTAATTGTATGTATGTAATTGTATGTATGTAATTGTATGTATGTAATTGTGGGTATGTAATTGTAGGTATGTAATTGTAGGTATGTATGTATGCATGCATGTATGTGTGTGTATGTATGTGTGTGTCTGTATGTGTGTGTATGTATGTGTGTATGTATGTATGTGTGTGTATGTATGTATGTATGTATGCAAATTTATGTATGTAATTGTACGTATGTAATTGTATGTATGCAATTGTATGTATGTAATTGTATGTATGTAATTGTATGTATGTAATTGTATGTATGTAATTGTATGTATGTAATTGTATGTATGTAATTGTATGTATGTAATTGTAATGTAAGGAATTGTATGTATGGAATTGTATGTATGTAATTGTATGTATGTAATTGTATGTATGTAATTGTATGTATGTAATTGTATGTATGTAATTGTAATGTAATTGTATGTATGTAATTGTACAAATGTAATTGCACGTATGCAATTGTACGTATGTAATTGTACGTATGTAATTGTACGTATGTAATTGCACATATGAAATTGTACGTATGTAATTGTATGTATGTAATTGTATGTATGTAATTGTATGTATGTAATTGTATGTATGTAATTGTATGTATGTAATTGTTGGTAATTGTATGTATGTAATTGTTGGTAATTTTATGTATGTAATTGTTTGTATGTAATTGTTTGTATGTAATTGTATGTATGTAATTGTATGTATGTAGTTGTATGTATGCAATTGTATGTATGTAATTGTATGTATGTAATTGTATGTATGTAATTGTATGTATGTAATTGTATGTATGTAATTGTATGTATGTAATTGTATGTATGTAAATGTATGTATGTAATTGTAGGTATGTAATTGTAGGTATGTAATTGCAGGTATGTAATTGTATGTATGTAACTGTATGTATGTAATTGTATGTATGTAATTGTATGTAATTGTATGTATGTAATTGTATGTATGTAATTGTATGTAATTGTATGTATGTAAATGTATGTATGTAATTGTATGTATGTAATTGTAGGAATGTAATTGCAGGTATGTAATTGTAGGAATGTAATTGTACGTATGTAATTGTACGTATGTAATTGTACGTATGTAATTGTACGTATGTAATTGTACGTATGGAATTGTACGTATGTAATTGTATGTATGTAATTGTATGTATGTAATTGTACGTATGTAATTGTACGTATGTAATTGTACGTATGCAATTGTACGTATGTAATTGTACGTATGTAATTGTACATATGTAATTGTACGTATGTAATTGTACGAATGTAATTGCACGTATGGAATTGTACGTATTATCTAATTCTACGTATGTAATTGTATGCATGTAATTGTACGTATGTAATTGTACGTATGCAATTGTACGCATGCAATTGTACGTATGTAATTGTACGTATATAATTGTACGTATGTAATTGTACGTATGTAATTGCACATATGAAATTGTACGTATGTAATTGTACGTATGTAATTGTACGTATGTAATTGTACGTATGTAATTGTACGTATGTAATTGTACGTATGTAATTGTACGTATGTAATTGTACGTATGCAATTTTACGTATGTAATTTTACGTATGTAATTGTACGTATGTAATTGTACGTATGTAATTGTATGTATGTAATTGTATGTATGTAATTGTATGTATGTAATTGTATGTATGTAAATATAAATGTAATTTATGTATGTAATTGTATGTATGTAATTGTATGTATAAAAGTATGTATGTATGTAATTGTATGTAAGTGATTGTATGTATGTAATTGTATGTATGTAATTGTATGTATGTAATTGTATGTATGTAATTGTATGTATGTAATTGTCTGTATACAATTGTATGTATTCAATTGTATGTATGCAATTGTATGTATGTAATTGTATGTAATTGTATGTATGTAATTGTTTTAAGTAAATGTATGTATGTAATTGTATGTATGTAATTGTATGTATGCATGCAATTCTGTATGTATGTATGTAATTGTATGTATGTATGTAATTGTAAAATTGTATGTATAATTGTATGTATGTATGTATGTATCTATGTATGTAATTGTATGTATGTAATTGTATGTATGTAATTGTCTGTATGCAATTGTATGTATGTAATTGTATGTATGTAATTGTATGTACTTGTATGTATGTAATTGTTTGTATGTAATTGTATGTATGTATTTGTATGTATGTAATTGTATGTATGTATGTAATTGTATGTATGTAATTGTATGTATGTAATTGTATGTATCTATGTATGTATGTATGTAATTGTATGTATGTAATTGTATGTAATTGTATGTATGTAATTGTCTGTATCAATTGTATGTATGCAATTGTATGTATGTAATTGTATGTATGTAATTGTATGTGATTGTTTGTATGTAATTGTATGTATGTAATTGTATGTATGTAATTGTTTGTATGCAATTGTATGTATTTAATTGTATGTATGTATGTATGTAATTGTATGTATGTATGTATGTATGTAATTGTATGTATGTAATTGTATGTAATTGTATGTATGTAATTGTATGTGATTGTTTGTATGTAATTGTATGTATGTAATTGTATGTATGTAATTGTTTGTATGCAATTGTATGTATTTAATTGTATGTATGTATGTATGTAATTGTATGTATTTATGTAATTGTATGTATGTATGTATGTATGTTTGTTTGTATG